TTTGGAAAATTCGGGAAAGAAATTGAAAAATTCATCAAGGAAAAGTAAAAATTGTACGGGAACCTATAAAAAATTTTTAATTATTATAAAAATAATACCAATAATTATGAGAATAATGAGAATAATGAGAATAAAAATAAATAATAAATATAATATACCTGTGTAACATTTGTTAAATAACTATTACTATTTGCATAACTAAAACCAGTGCCAATAGGTTGATCCACTATTAAACAAAAAAAAAGTAAACAAAAATAAAAACAAAAACAAAATAAAAATAAAATAAAATAAAATAAATCAATAAATCAATAAATAATCAAAATATATTGAATTGAACAAAGTCAACAATGTAAATTCAGGTTGTTACCATATAATACATTAGCATACTCATTCCAGGATCCATCAATTAATCTTAATGTTTCATTATCTGTGTTTATTCTCCAAGGTCCTGTTTCAAGAAATAATCCATCCATACTAGTTTATTTATTATTTAAAATTTATTATTTTTATTATCATCTTATGAAGAAACAACGAATTGATTATCGAATTTGATTAACTTACCTCGAACTAAAATTGATTGATTGATTGATTGATTGATCGAATTGATTGATCACAAATATATTAAAAAATACATACATATATATATATAAATCACATTTTTTATTTAAATCGAGTAATATTGACTTACCATCCAGGACCTTTTATTAATAAAAAGAAAATTTTTTAGATATTTATTATTTTATTATAATTAAATACATTATTTAAATATTTATTATTGAAAATTTAACATACCACCATTTAGCCATATAATCTTTAATTAAATATCCATATAATTTTTAATATTAATAATTTAATCAAATAAATATTTTTAATATTTTTTAATTAATAATATTTTAATATAAACTTACAAATTTAGATTTATCAGCAATGTGACGATTATGTATTAACCAAAAGAATATATTGGCATTTGCAGTTTCGTTAATTGTAATATGACTAATTAAAAAAAAAATATATCCCCCAAGAAAATTAGGTTATTTTAAAATAATAATAATTATAAAATAATAAAATAATAATAATAATAATAATAAATAAATAAATTAATGAATATTGAATCAAATAATAATTTAAAATCATTTCTAAACAAAAACTAACCCAGAGTGAGCTTTAACATTTGCATCTTTAGCAAGTCCAGGTAAATTTTCTATAAAATAATCGGCAGCTATAAAAATGATTTATGAACAAAAAAAAAAAAGGTTGAATTTTGATAGATAAAAGAAGTTAGTTAAAGTTCACGATTTAAAATAACAATAATATATATATTTTTTTTTCACATTTTGATATACATGCCAAAGACACTAACCACTACTCGCGTATATTATTTTAGTAATAG